CCTCCTCCAAGCTGCTGCTCTTTCTGGATCCCAATCTCTCCATCAAGCTCCTGCTTCCTCCATCAAGCTTCTGCATCCTCCATGCTAGCTGCTCCCTGCGTCCTCCTGAATCGCAATCTCCTCCTCCATGCTCCAAGCTCCTTCCTGCACCCAGATCCTCCTGCACCCAGATCCTCCTCCATGCTCCAAGCTGCTTCTTGCTCAGGCTCCTAGATCCTTCTCCATCCATCTTTTACCTACACACTCTCCTTCATAGAAACCTCGTCAGTACCATCAACACTCCTCCACCACCTGAACTCGACTGTGCCGCACTGCACTTGTTCGTCAGGCTTCCCCTCTGATCAGTCAGGCTCCCCAGACACCTTTCTGATCATCTAGTCATCCATCCCATCATTGTGCTTCAAATCCCATCGATTTCAATTGTCACCCATCTGACTTTCTCAATCCAAATTTAACCCATCTGACTTTCTCAATCCAAATTTTCCACCCAATGATGTCCACCTCATTCATGACCAATGTGTTTGTCCTAACTATCCTGCTCTACGGGCCCATCTAACAAATCGCTATCTAACCGCGGTAAGAATGATTTGATTTGGCGCCATTTCACCTGAGAGCTCTTGAGATTTCATTTGCATGCATGTTCATTTCAATTCTCATATTGACCATATGATCTTCTTTCATTTGCCTTTCCCCATCAATCATCTCTTCATTTTCAATTTCTCAATTTCTCAACGGCCGATTTTTCATCAATTTCAATTCTCATTTCAATTCTTGCGATCATAGGTCTTGTATCTTGCGATCATGATGGGAGGCTTCACATCCTAACCTGCTTGACTTGACCTAGAGTTCCTTGAACAGTCTTCGGGAGAAGAAGCTTGATACCACGCCATGCCAATCATCTGATTCTACTTCTCAATATCAAACCTTCCTTCCAAGGTTCTCCCTCCCTGAATCAGAGATTGGTGCAGGCGATTGCTCGTTGATACCAGCTGTACGATGAACCCCATTGTATTCAAGCTGGGATAAATCCCACTGAAGTTCAAAGTTGCTCCCAAAGCGCTGTCT